ACCTGTCTATGTCTCACTTGTATTTGATGTTTGTTTCTCCAACATTACCTACAAGTACACACCCTTTATATGTTATATACAAAGATATGTATGTATATGTATGGAGAGATATGTAACATATATATTATAACCAAAGATTTGTTTTTACTGCATATATAATATGTGCAACCATATTATATGCAATATCTGTAAAAGGAAACTCTGCTCCAGACTTATTTCCCAGCTGGAAATTTGCAGCAATGACTGTGCACATGTGTGCCTGCTCCCTCCTCCTCCAAGACCAGGGATGGCAGCACACAGCAGGTCTCCTGCATCTCAGAAGAGATCTTGGACACACCAAGTTTTATTCCACATGGCTGAAGACAGCTGAAGGCTCATTATCCACTGCTAAACATTCAGCTTTAGCTCTTGTGAGTGCTTCCCTCCCTCCTCTGCAGTGTTCTTTCCACTTCACGGAGCCTGACAAATGAAGGAAAGCCTTTCCTTACATATTCAGCTGGAGCCCACTGGAATCAACATGAACTTCTGCTGCCACTGCTGTTGAAGAAGCCCAAAGGGCCTCTTGAGTTGCAATCACCCCTCAGGATGCCTCGTTTTTCTTTATGCTCTCTATCATCTAGGAACTCCAAGTGTGACTAATAAGCAATACTCAGCCAAGTTCAGCTCCTCTATTCTTCCTCTAGGCTTGTGACTCCCATTTTGTTCTGGAAAGTCTCGAAGTATTTACTAGTATCATGGAAACAGGGATTATCTTCATTTTGCAGTGAACAAAGAAATTCAAAAAGCATCCATGAGATTTAGAAGGGCAATCCAGAGTGAAAAATTCCTTCTCTCAGAGAAGAACTGCAAAAGTGGAGTGAGAGGCTCATCAGCCATCTGAGGAATGATTTCACTGCTCACAGCCTAGAGTAAAGATGACAATCTCCTTGCTCCAAAGCATACTCAGATTTACCATCCAAGGTCAGAAAGGATTTTTTCCATCACTTAGGCACATTACAGAACATGTCAGCTTTTAGATGATGTATCAGACCTTGGCCACTGAGTCACTAGACAGCCACAGGGAGTATAACGCCCATCTGTTCTCTTGTGCCTGGGGACACTGAGCAGCTGGGCCTCAGCTCTAAGAAAACAATATCCAACCAAATAAACCCCAGTCAGAAGATGAACACAGATCTTGGGGAGCCGCTGCTCTGCTCTGCTATTTCCACAGCCAATATGTTTATCTTTTTTGAATCTTTCTTCGCTAACCCTGTCAGCCACAAGAAGAGCATGGAGTCATCACTTTTAAAGCCTTGCATTTCTAATGAGTGTGAAAGAAACTCTGTCTCACATGATGATCTAACCAGTCATCATTTAATCCAACCTGCATGGATGTGTTCCCATTCCTTCCTTAGTCTTCCCTCTTGTTTCTGAGTTGAATGTATCTGAAATCTTTCCACTCTGAATGACCCTTCTTCTGATTCCAAAGCTCTCTCCACCAAGATGGAGTCCACAGCTGGAAAAGATGCACCAACTACTTCCATCCCCATCACAACCAGAAGAGCACATAGTGAGGACAGGTCTGGAGAAAATGACGCTGCACTCCAGTACCCCTCACCAAGGAATAAGCTCCCATAGCCAGGCCTAAGATCCTCAAAGAGAAAAAGCTGAGGGTCTCTGAGCCACCTTTGAACCCACTTCTTTTCTTCTCTGCACTTTCTTCATCTTCACTGAGAAGACATTTCTTGATGCAGAACTTCATTTAAATTATGGTTAGGAAGAAACTGTTAGTGAGGACAGACAACCAGGAATGCTGCTTAGGACATGGAGATCTATTTGAGGATGTTTCTATCACTTATGGAAGAATTCCACATTCCTCCTCATAGACCTTTAGCTGTTGGAAACACAGACACAAGTTTACATGTTTGATGCATCAGGCAGAGGCAGCAGACAAGGAGGAAGAGCAGAGCAGAGCTTTGTTCTGATATCTTCAGAGTGGTGTTCAACCATCAGAAACCAATGTCTTCCTTGTAGGGTGGGTTGGGTCTCTTGCCTTCATTCTTCCAGCAGCAGCAGTGGCAGTATGTTATGAAATACAACCCTCCCGAGTCCCCCCAAAACAACAGATATTCCCTCCTACACAAGCAAGGAAACAAGTTCTCCTGTGGGTAGAGTTGCCTCCCAGAGCCCTAATGGAAGCCCTTGATTTCTTGCAGACACCGATGTGTGCCACTCAAGCCCCTGTCTGAATGGAGCCACCTGCGTTGATGGTATCGACTCTTTCAAATGCTTTTGCCTTCCCAGCTACGAAGGGGACCTGTGTGAGATCGGTACGGCCTCCCTGGCTTCAGCTAATCCTACTAACTGCTGCACCACCTTGTTCCCACACTACCCCCCAAAAAAAGCTGATCCCCAGTGCTCCCATCAGTGCTGCCCTCATCTCAGTTGGGCTAACCCCTAACAGCAGCTTAAAACACACAAGGGAAAAGCTTTGAGGCTTCTGAGTATAGAATTTGATAAGTTTGTTCCTCACAGCACCATGTCTGCTAAGATTCCTAAGCAGGAGCTTCTGGTGTCTTCTTCAGCTTTCTCTTTTTCAAGTGTCTCTGGTGAAGCTCCACACAGATCATAACAGTGTTCATCATGGAAGTTGCTGTCTCTTTGGGTCAGGGGTCATTCTGTTCATCTGTAACAGTAGGGAACCTTCTGAGTACATCTTCACCCCAGGCAAACTTCCTATGCTAGACTGGAACTTCGTGGAAGGACACTTCAACTGAGCCATGAAAAATTATTTTATTTCTCTTGGGGAAGATGCAGCTGAGAGAAGCATCATTCACTCCAGGAATCTCCACTGATTTGACAGATCATGACATTCTTGTCATCTCCACAACGTAGCTTCCTGTGGCAAAATCAGCAGGGAATGTATCTTTGAGAAAACGGGAAGCAACCTGTATCTCCATCAAAATTAGTGCGCTAATACTTCTTTTTGTTTCTACAAGGGAAGAAAAAGAGTTTTTTCCTTAAAGCTGATTAAAGTCCAAACTTTTGTCAGCTTAGATGAGGGGAAGCTCTCCTGCCTTGCTCAAACAAAAGAGAATTAAGGTTGCATTATCTTCTTCAGCTTGGCATGAGTAACGATAATATATGTTGGATTTTCTCCTTCCCTTTCTCCGCATCTCTTCCTGCTTTCGATAAGAACATATGGAGTAGACCATAAGGAACAGGCTTAGGATCATTAAACCTTCTGGACAGGAACTGTGCTGTCTTAGCATCAATTTTCCAATGCAACCTCACCCATTCTTGATTTACCCACCCATGATACCTGTTGTTGAAGGTCCTTGTCATCCAGCCAGAAACTCTCCACCCTGTAACTGCTTATGATCTTGTTTCATCCAAGCTAGACTTAATTTTCTCTTTTCTCTGAATTATGGACTCTGATGTCTGGGAGATGCAAGAGGAAGCCAGTGCCCCAAAACTTGTTGGAAATGTAAATCTTCATATTCCCATGAGACAGACCATCCTTGCTGCTGGTGTCCAAGAACAATGTGATACTCAAGGTGCAAATTGACACAGACAGTCCCTTTTGTCACCATGAAAGTGTCCTTACCAGGGAACAAGATTTACATCATTCTTTGCCAAGAAAATTGCTGTCATATTTACCTGTAAGAAAAAATTATGCAGGAAAGCATAGCCTTTCTCCTAGAAAACAGCCTGCTGAGATTCTTTATCATGTGGTGTCCTATCCTCAGTCTGTGATGACAAGGGATGCCATTAAAGATAATGGGAAAAAGTCTTAATCTCAAAAGACAGAGTGAGTTCTCAGTTAACTTTCTGCAAGAGATCTGCCTGCAAAACCCAATAATCCTCTGAGCTTCACCTACTGCCAGGTAACCCATTTGATCTGTTGAAGAAATCAGGAAATGCTTTTAATGTCTCAAATAACTACCAACCACTCCAACATCTATGAAGTGCCTGCAACCTCCAGCTGGAAGAACACCAGAAAGGTGGATTAGGAGGAATTAGTGTTACTGAAAGTGACAGTGCTTTGACCTACCAAGTTTAACAAAGAAAGAAACTGAGTACAGAAAACCTTACTGAAAAGGGAGGGAGGCATGAGGGCTCATGGAAGCCCATCACTCTCAGAGGAACAAGGGCCTGAGAAAAGGTGGTAGATCAGGTATCTGAAAGGCTGAGATTAAACACATTTCATTTTCTGTTTCCTTCAGTCACATGTAGCAGACAGATGTGTGGTGTTGCATTGTATGGGAACTGATGAAGGTCTTTCCTAGTGGTTTCTCCATTTGTCCCTCATTTCCCCCATCTGTGGTTTTATTTTTTCTTAAGTGTGTTCAGTTCCTCAATATTTCTCAGATGTAAAAGATCTTCTGAAAAGCTGAGAAATGTTTGTACTTTTTTAGCAGTTTCCAAGATTTTTCATTGAGACTTAGTTCTCTCTCTCCACTGGGTTGTTTCTGTCTCCATTGCTTTTCACCCCTCTTGGTTGGTTTGTTTCTCCTCCAGAGCTCCAGAATCCACCAACTGATGGAACCACCCATACCTGGTGGCCCCCTCTTTCATGTTCAACAAATATGCATTGATTCTGGACACCTGGATATGGGGTTTGGAGGGTTTTTTTTCCAAATCAAGGAAACTCTGCAGGTCAGCACAAGTGGGAAGAGAGGTGTTCTTGCTTGGTCAGTTGCTCAAAAGCAGACTTCAGGAACATTACATAGGGATTGAATTTCTCAGGAATAAGTCTGTATCATTCAAGCTTTCTAGTAGCACTGGTTGTGTCACTGCAGACACAGGGACTTCCACACAGGCTGCCCTCTCTGTGTGTCTTGGAGGCCTTCTGACAACTTTCCAGGGAATTCCTACAGGCAGCAGTGTCAGGGTGTGCTTTTTAGTGAAAGTGACCATGTTTTGTCCCATGCCATGGGAGCATGAGCTGCTAAGAGGTGAGTTGAAAGCTTTCAGACACATGCACCAACTCCTTTTCATCCCTCTTCTGTGTGTTTCAGACTCAGAAAACTGTGAGGAAGGCTGGACCAAGTTCCAGGGCCATTGCTACAGGCACTTTGAAGAGAGGGAGACTTGGATGGATGCAGAGACCAGATGCCGACAACATCAAGCCCACCTGAGCAGTATCATCACCCCAGAGGAACAAGAATTTGTGAACAGTGAGTGCTGAGGGCAGCCTAAGACTGGGCATGGATGCAGCCACTGACTCTACAGGCAGATTTATCCAAAACCACCATTTTCCCCACTGGTGCTCATATGAATCCTGACAAAGCCTCATCCTTGTATGGGTGCACCCATGCTCATGGCAGCTGAGTGGGGAGGGAGCTGGGCAAACATGATCTAAGGGAAAAGGGCACCAGGGAATATTGACTGGTAGGCAGCTGAATGAACCAGAGGCTCCAGGGCCAGGGACAGCTGAGATGGCAAAGAAATGCTTCCAGCAATGTGTAGGATGACCATGACTCTTTTCTCTCCCTCCTGTTCTTCCAGGTCATGCACAGGACTACCAGTGGATCGGCCTCAGTGACAGAGCTGTGGAGAACGACTTCCGCTGGTCTGACGGTCACTCCCTGGTGAGCCCACGGCATGAGCAGGCACTGGCTTCTCAGGGTGGTGGGAAGGGCCGCATGGCTTACATGTTGAGTGCTCGGGTTGGGCATTGAGTGGAGGCAGCCCTAAATTTTGTAGGGCTCAGGGTTTTTCCAAGCCTTTAGAAAAGCTGGTGGGGTTGTGGGCAGCATCACAACAGAAATAACTGGTGTAGGGGCAGGGCTGGCAACCCACGGGCTCTGCTGGAGAGAGGTGTGGGAGAGATGGGGTGAGGATGAGGGAGGGAGTAGGAGAGACTGGGGTCCAACCTTAGCTGAAGGACTGTCCTCTCTCGGCAGCAATACGAGAACTGGAGGCCCAACCAACCTGATAACTTCTTTTCGGCGGGCGAGGACTGCGTTGTGATGATCTGGCATGAGAAAGGCGAATGGAACGACGTTCCCTGCAACTATCACCTCCCTTTCACCTGCAAGAAAGGAACAGGTCAGCACCCTGTGCCATACTGGCAAGGATGGGGGACTCAGTAGGTGGCTGCGGGTCTGGAGCAGAGTGCCCAGTGCCCAGGAATGTGGGTTTTGTTACTGCAAAAGGTGATCAAAGAGATAGAAGGAATTAGAAGTTGGCCAAGGCTCTAGGAGAAAGTCCCACAAGGACTTGAAACTAAATAGGACAAGCCATTAACATTCAACATCCCCAGGCAGAGTCACACCCTGGCTGTAGCATCACTCCCACACACCAGCTCTGTGCCCTCCTATGGACACAGGCAACTGTTGTGATGCTCAGCTCTCACAGCCTCTCCAGGAGACAGGAGTGAAGCACTGAGGCATACCCCTGCTTAATTTCAAATCACAGAATTTCCATATCCTTGTGGACAGAGGCAATCTCAAAGAGAGTTACGGTTTTATTCATGGAAGAGTGACAAGGCTTTGCACGCCCAGCCTGCCCTGGGTGTGAGCTGCCTGCCCAGCCAGGCTGGTGCTCTCTCACTCACTCTCCAGCCTGTGCCCCTCTCCCACAGTGGCCTGCGGGGACCCCCCTGCGGTGGAGAACGCCAGGACCTTCGGTCGGAAGAAGGAACGCTACGAGATAAACTCCATGGTGCGGTACCAGTGCGACCAAGGCTACATCCAGCGGCACGTGCCCACGATCCGGTGCCAGCCCAGCGGGCAGTGGGAGGAGCCGCGGATATCCTGCCTAAACCGTACGTCTGGGTCCTGTACCTTCGGGTTAGGGACCATGCCCTCTGCCCCTGGAAGGAGCTGGGAATGCGGGACATCATCTCGGGGTGCAGGATAGCTCTGAGCCAGGCAGAAGGGCACACCATGGTTCCCTTGACTTCTTGGAAGTTTCCCCTGTGATGGGGCCATGGGAGCTGACATCTTTTGGGGCAGGTGTGGACCATGGAGCCTGGCTTGCAGGACTGCCCTGGAGACCCACCAAGGCAGAGTAGGGGCAGCTCCAGTCAGGAAAGGGCAACAAGGAGCTTACCAATGGCCCAGGCTACTCAGAGAAGGAAAAGTAAATGGCTTCTGAAAGTCTGAGTTTTGGCACAGCCTGCATCAACAGAGAGAACAGGATGGGAGAGCCATGGGGTCCCCAAGCCCTTCCCTGGTGTCCCCCTGTCCTGGGAGCAGACAGGAGTCCTGCAGCAGATACAAGCCAAGGCACAGGGCTGGGTTCCTGACTCTCTTTCTGTCAGGCCTCCAGCTGATGGCAGTCAGCCTTCTTCCACTGGTGTCCCAGCCCACTCCCAGGCCTGCCTACACCCCTGTCCCATCTCTGATTGCCTGCAGCTTCCCAAGAATTTTGTTGGCCTCGGACAAATCACATCTGTCCAGTGGCCTCCTTGCCAGGTTCTAGTCCTGCTGGGCAATTCCAGATAAGACAGATTAAGCAATGGTCCCACAGCCAAGGAAAGCTGATACGAGTTTAAGGGACAAACCTCTGCCCAGAGAGGAGATGAAAGGAGGAGGGATGGAGGAGGTGTCCAAGGGCGGCTGCCTGGTGCAGACCAAGATGCTGATTCCTTTGGCTCTGCTGTGGGTCTGGAGAGCTGCAGGCTGTTCCTGACACAGACTGCCAGGAATCAAGAGACCTGGTCTGCTCGCAGCCAGCTTTTGCTGCTTCCACCAAAACCCTCCTGCAATTATCACACCAGAGCATGCCAGCTTCCAGGGAGACTGGCAGCAAAGAACAGGCAGAAACCTTGTCCCTGCCAGCCAGGCCTGGTTGTTTCCCTTCCTGTGCCCTGAGCACATCCCACTATTAGTGAATATTAGGGTTGGGGATTTAGGGATTGATAGGGCAGTGGGTGAGATGGGGCCGAGCTGCCCTCCTGGCTGGGCACGGGGAAGGGATGGGACACGCAGCTGTGGCGGTGATGCTCCTGCCCAGGCTCTCGCCGAGCCACAGGCACCTTCTCCCCTGGGCGAAGCAAAGCCGGGGCAGGGCGAGAGAAGGGCCGATTGTGCGTGTGCGGGCGGGCTGGCGCTGCTGCGGCTGCCCGTGTTTTTCCAGGCAGCCAGGGGCCCGGCGGCCAGCGTGGGACAAGCAGCTTCTCTGTCCCGGCTCCTGCCAACAAGGTGCCTTTTCTTCTCCTCCACAGCCTCCAGCTACCAGCGCAGGCTATACAAGAGGAGCCCCAGGAGCCGGTCGAAACCCAGCGGCAGCGCCGTGCACAGACGCACCCATTAGAGAGGGGCGAGAGACCGAGGAGGAAAGCGAGAAGAGATTTTTAACGGAACAGTTATATTAACAGAGTCGATTTCTTCTTCTTGTTGTTGCTTTTTTGTCATATAAGGAAAAAAAAATTATATTAAAGACAAACCCACCTTTGTGTATATATATATACAAAAAAAAAATTGTTTTTCCAAGCACCAAAGCAAAACGAATTAGATCTCAGCATTTTTACTAACCGTCCGGTTCCAATTATCTTCGTGCCTTTGGGGACAGGGAGGGGGGTGGGTTTGCAAAGGGCAGGGGGTTAAGTTAAATAATAAAGATGATTATTTTTTCCTGATTTTATCCACGAACAATGTAATTATTTCTGTTATTTAATCTCCAGGGTGAACAGCACCTTTTGGAGCTTTATTTTATTTTTTTTTTTTTCCAGAAACCTTATACTGCTGCAGCACGTCAGAACGGGTGGGGAGGGCTGGGGGGCTGTGGTGGAAGGAGCTGTGGGAGGAGGGAAGGCAAGGGGATGCTGAGACCCAGGACACAGGTGCTGGGGACTGTGGCCCCTCTCTGCTTCCCCACTGCCCCCTCTGCAGCACAGCACTCGTCCTGGGACAACGTGCTCTTTCCAGGGGACCGTGCGGGGCACCAGTGTTCCCTGCACCTATTTATATTTTTGAACATATCCTATTTTGAAAGAATGATAAATAATAAAGAGAGTGAAATTGGAATGGGCACTTGGTCGGTGTTGGTTTTTTTATAGGGAAGAGGGATGTCTAGTGGGCTGGGAAGAGAGGGGTCTCCCATGGCAAGGCAAAAAGGAAGGAAGGAGAACCCAAAGAGGGTGCTCCCAGCTACACAGGAATGGCTCAGCCCCAGGCAGCACCTAAGGGACCACAGAGGTAGGAGGGGTGTCCCATGCCCTCACTGAAGAAGGACCCTGGAGTAGGATACTGCCTTCCCTGTCCAGCTCTCAGTTTGGGAGGGGGTTAACCCACATGCCTAAAACCCATCTAAAACCCATGACCGGTAGGAACTGCTTCACCTTCCAGCTTTCAGTCCTGACGCCCAGAGGGTTAATTAACACTCTCTAATGAGGGAACACAAGGCCCTTGCAGGAGCTGAACTGAGCCAGCACTAATGAGACATGCTCAGCCAAGGATGAGACAGCCAGGGATCCCCAAATCCCTTCTCCACAGAAGACCTTTCTCTTGTGTTGGGACAGAGATGGGGACACAGCCATGTCACTCCAGGGCTTTCTCCACCATTTTATTAGAAGATGTCCAGAAAAACACATCTTTTCATAGCCAATGCTCACAGAAGAAGGCACCAGAGTTCAAATGGAGTTCAGGCAAGGGGCACATAGAGATAAGGCACTTGTGCCCCAGCAGGGACAGGCACATTGGTGTCCTTCAGCAGGACATGGATGGTGCTGGAAGAGGGGCCAGGATGCAGTGGAGATACCTGCTCTCTGCTCTGGCTAAATCCAGCCTTGCCTCGCTCCCTCATGGCCTTGCCTCGCTCCCTCATGGCCTTGCCTCATGAACTCGGAGGCAGGACCAGCCTGGAAGGGCAGGTGGGTGTCAGTGAGAACCTGCCACTGCAGGAAGGGGCCACCACCCATGGGGTGGCACGGCCAAGTGGGGTGGCAGCAGTAGCCCATGGGGATCATCCTTGCACACATCCCATGACAGGGACTGTCCCACGCTGCCGAGCTGGCAGCCACCCCAAGCAGCTGCAGGTGCCAGCTGCTGAGCAAGATGTGAAAAATATAAAGGAAGGAAACAAAACAAAATAAAAAGAAACCTCCCCCCATCCCACCTCCCCCCAGTCAGCCCCAAAAGAGCCCTTGGAAATGCCCGGTGCTGGGCACTGGCAGGCTGGAAACATCCTTCATCCAAGAAGGATCTCTCCCGGGTCCTTATCTCTCTCTGTAGCAGAAGACGCCAAACCTGCCCTTCCTGGGGAAGCCGAAGCTGCGGACACCGGGCTCCGCGGGGCCACAATTGGCCCGGGGTGTGACAATGGGGTAGCGGACACTGCCATCTGCCAGCCAGCCGGCACTGCAGCGGTCCAGCCCCGCGAACTTCCAGGCGGAGTAGAGCTGCCCCACCCGGGCGATCTCGGCCCCTGCATCCTGGCAGCTCTGCTTGGCCTCCTCCAGCGTCATCCCAGCCAGGCGGTCCAGGTAGAAAACCTCTCCTAGGAGGGAGGGAGAGCGGAGCGTGAGAGGGGAGCATCATCCCGAGCATCCCCATCTGGAATGCCTGGAACAGCCCCACGCAGGCCAAGTCCTGTGCCCTAAGAGGGAGGGACACACAGCCCCTTCCCCAGCATCCCAGCCCCATTTCTGGCCCAGAACCCACCTTTGAGCGCGGAGGAGAAGCAGAAGGCATCGAAGCGGTGGAGGTGCCGGTGGCGCGGGCCGTAGCTGCGGATGCCCGGGGCGAGGTGCACGCCCCCGCAGGGCTTGCGGGGCAGGCGGATGGGGTACTGCACCGTGCCATCGGCCAGCCAGCCCGCGTTGCACCAGTCCAGCCCCTCGCTCCACGCCTGGAAGAGCTGGTTAAAGTTGGCGAGGATGGCACCTTGGTCCTGGCACACTTGCTCGGCTTCGTGGAAATTGAGCCTGTACTGCCCGCGGGGAGGCTGGTAGGGGAACACGATGCCTGGAGGCAGATGGGACACTCAGATGGCTCCGTGGGCGACCCACCCAACCCGAACCCAGCCCCAGCAGGAGCCATAGGGGTCCCTGGCCCCAAATTCAGGCTTTGGGACAGGGACCACCTCCGTGTGCGGAGACAAGGCTCAGGCGTGCGGGGATGGGGCCGCTCTGGACATGCAGGCGCCAGCAGCGAGTTGCCAGCGACATCTGGTGGCACAGGGACACACGGGCTCGGTCCTGGGGACACAAGCCCTCCTCACGGGGACAGCACCTGCACATACAGGGCTTCACAGACTACAGTGGGGATGCAGGGACCACCACCACGGGGCTGTACAGACCGCGGTGCTGGGAACACACAGACAGTGGTCCCAGGGAGGCGCGGATCACCCCTGCAGGGATGGAGAGATCGTTGTCATGGAGATGCACAGGCTTCGGGAGCAGGGATACAAAGGTCAGCATCCTCATGATCCCAGGGGACACACGGACCACCAGCATGGGGATGAATGAACCTCTGTCGTGGGGATGGGTCACAACAGAACCACGGGCATCGCTACTTTTGACACAGTCACAAGGACTGGTAGGGACGAGTGACTGTGGGAGTCAGGGCCAGGGGCCAAGGGGTGGGGCAGGGACAAGCTCTGGGGACATTTCCACAGCTCTGAGCTCCAAAGCAATGTCAAGGCTGAGTCAGGTCCCTCATGACAGGTGAGCAAGAGAGGCTGGAGTAGTCACCAAGGGTCATCACAAGATTCATTGGGATATCCAGAGCTGGGAGGGGAGGGGACAGCTCTACGTGATGCCGCACAGTGGGAAGATGGGTGGGTAAAGGCAGGAAATGCTGCAGCCATAGAGTGACTCCCAACTCTGACTCCAGCAGCACCCTCGGTGTCCCAGCTGGGCAGACAGTTCTGGGCTCACTCACTTCTGAGGCCAGAACCAGACAGCCCCAAGCCACTGTCCCATCAGACCAAGCATCCCAGCCCTTTTCTGCTGTGATCAAGTTCCACAACCCCCCTGCCTTGCTGTGTCCCCAAAGGAGAAGGCACCAGAGGAAGGCCAGGCTCACTGGCTTGGTGCAGAGGGTCATGTGGTCCCCAGCACGCCCCACCTTGCAGCCGGAGGTCCACAACGTCGCTCTCATCCTCCAGCCCATCGATGACCTCGCATCGATATTTGCCATCGTCCTTCAAGCGCACATCGCTGATGACCAGCGAGGCCTCGTGCCAGCTGGCCTCGCCGGCCTGACGGAAGTGAGCACGGCCCTTGAAGTCCCCAAAGGCCACGTAGGTCTTGCCAATGGCCACCATCACATCCTGCTCTTTGGTGTAGTCATCCCGCAGCTTGGACCACTTGATGCGGATTTTCCGCTTAGGTCCCAGGTTGGGCTCGTAGCGGTAGTGGCAGGGCAGGGTGACATTGGCACCATTGTAGCTGTAGACAGGGTCTTTGGAGGCTTCCACCACTAGTCTGGATCCACTGAAGTAATCCACTGAAGGGAAGAAGGAAGGTGTGATAGGCAGGTCAGGATCCAGGGCTGGGCAGCATCCCCAGATGCACCCACTACTTCTTCTGCCAAGAGCATTCCCCAGATATCCCTGGAGCATTCCTACTGCTCCTCTGGGCCTCACATCCCACCAAGTTATGGGTCTCCACCCCATCCAGAGGCAGAGGGGTACTTCAGCCTCCTGTGGCAACCTGCCAGTGCCCATTGTCCCCGACATACCTCTGTCCTGCTCGTCGCCATTGTCATTCATTATGTGGTTGTAGTAGAAGCCGTTGTGGAAGGGGTGGTAGAAGCCACTGGCCAGGTGCAGCAGGGTGGCCTTCAGGAGGAGTGGGAGCAGCAGCATGGCTGGGAAGCAAGCCTGGACTGCAGAGGGGGAAAGGACTGCTGTGACACTCCCAAATAGCCAGGAGAAAGCCAGCACTGCCTGGCAGTGGTGCCAATCAGACTCCAAACCAGGGATGCAAGCAGAGGGGTGAGAAGAGCCAGCAGAGCAGCTCCAACTTGCCTGCCCACAGGGGAGAGTGCAGGCAACCTGAGCCGTGCCCCCAGACCCGCCCCCCAGCCGGTGCTCCCAGTCCCCTCCATCCTCATCCTCCCGCCTGGCTCACACTGCACACCAGCACATTCACCGCTGCTGCCCATTGTGGGGGTGCCCATTGTGGGGAGCACCTGGCCCAAGAAGAAGTCGGAGATGGGGCAGCTGGAGAAATGGGATCCCAGGGTGTCCTTTGGACAGGGAGTACTGGGAAAAGGTCACGTAGGGGTGCAGGGGGAGAGACGTGGCTGAGCCCCACCGTAAAGCAGCAAGCTCGGTTTACAAGAGGCAGCCGAGCGTGCAACCCGACCAAGGAGTGCGGGAGGGAGCTCGGGCTGCCTCTGCTGCCCCGGCTCCGGACACAGCCCAGCAGCACTCACCATCCTGGCCAAGGACCCCCTAGTCCAACCCAGGGCTGCCACTCTGCATCGCAGACATGGCAAGCACCGACCCCATGCAACACATTTGGCTGCCAAAGCACGTCCCATCGGTGGGGGGTAGCCTGGCTACCCCACGACACCAGGAATGTGCCCGTGTTCTGGGGGCCAGGACACTCAAGGGTCTCACCCAGGGTGCTACCAGCAGAATTGGCTACTTGTGAGCATTCCCGGAGCCGGCAGAGGGGGCCCGGCACCCGGCAAGCCTCCGGCAGACCCCTTCCAACACCGGCGGGGGTCTGACATCTGTGCCGTGCTTAGACAAGGCTCACGAGTGCCTGCAAACACACCCGGGGCCCGGGGGCTGTGGAGAGCCGATGCTCAGCCCGGAAGGGTCCAAGACGGGGTGCGGTGGTGCTCTCCAGGGTCCGAGGCGTGAAACCGGCTGCTCTCACCGCAGGTTGCTCAATCCCAAACTTTCCTCTGCAGTGGTGCCTCTGCTCACCATGTCGTGCAGCCGCATTTGCCACCCACCGGGGCCAGCAGGCGGTGCCCGGGGTGCAGGGTGTGCCCGCTGGAGCGGCGGCACAGCCCCGGGAGCCGGCGCGGCGCTGCTGGCACCGGAGCCGCGGGGACGCCGCCACGTGCTGCCCACGCAGCGCAGGGTGGGCTCGAGGCACGGCAGCTTCACACCTCGGTCTGCAGGGCACCAGCCCTGGTCCCCCTGCACCCCAATGCCTGGTGAGCCCCCCAGAGCCCAGCGTGGCGGTGACGTGCGGTGTGCCCAGTGCTCTCAGCTGCAGCGCCGTGAGCATCGTGCTGCAGCGCCCAGCACAGCGATGCCTGGCACCCATGGCAGCGATGCCCGGCTCCCTGCATGGCACTGCCATCCCCCCTGCCCTTCACGGCAAGCAGGGTGCCCACCGCCCCGGGGTGCCAGCCCTCCCCAGTCCCGGCACTGGGGTCAAGCCCTACTCACGTTGGTTGCAGGCAGGCTGCAGGCAGGCGTGCAGGCAGGCTGCAGGCAGATGCACTGTGTTTAGGGCTCTTGCAAGGCTGAGAGGAAGCAGCTCCAGGGCCTGCCTCTTAAAGGGAAACACACGCCTTTCCCAACCCCCTGCTCACAGCCCAGAGCTGGGGTGGGTGCCCCTGGCCCCCTGTCTGCCCACCATGCGTGGGTGATGGCCTCACTGTGTGTCCACACACTGCCCACATGCTGCCCACACGCTGTTCACACACCTTATCTGCGGTGTGCCAGCTGCCTGCACTGCCCCCGACTTGGAAGGGAGAGCAGTGGAGAGAAATGTGCCCTGTTGGGGCTGGTGGGATCCTGTGATGTCCCAAGCAAAGCCCCAGTGAAGAGTGAAGCCACTGTGCCAGGGAAGAAGAGACATGCCTTGTCCCACATCCCACTGGAGGGCACTGGCCACAGTCTCCAGACAAAGGAGATGTCCAACACACATGTGGCAGGAGCACTACAGGCCCCAGGCGGTTCGGGCCGGTTGGGTTTTGGCCTGGGGGTTTTTTTGCCAGTGCCTGCCTGCTCTGGAATTCAGGCGAGACAGCTGAGCTGCGGGCTTCAGCCTCTTCAGGGTCTGCTTAACGCTGTGGGGACAAAACAGAGGTACAGAAACCAGGCCAAAAACTCTGGGGTGCCCAGTTGCACCCATCTGTGGGGGCATCATCCCTAAAGTTGGGTGATACCCTCCACGCCAGCTCGCAGTGGCACACAGGCCGGCAGATACAGCTCCGGGAGGATCGAGTCCTCAGGAAGGGCAGCACGGCGGCGGCACCGCCAGGGGATGCCGGTCAGGGGATAGACAGAAGGGACAGAGGAACCACGATGCGGCGTGTGCCCTGACCCACCGACCCGCCGTCCCAGTCCAGTGCGCCGCTTCACCCCCCACTTTGTTGTTTCACGGCAAGGAAATGAGGCGTGGGGGCCCCGGTCCAACTCTTGCCGCCGCGCAGGATGGCTTCAAGCCGGAAAGAAAACAACCCGTGTAAAAATAAACGTCCCGAGGCTGGCTGCGGGGTGAAGGGGGCCAGGAGCCCTTCCCGCCAGCGGCCGGCACGGAGCGCTCGGGGGGCGATGCTGCCTGCCCGTCGCCGCCGCGCTGATAGCGAGCAGCCAGCAAGGAAACGGCGTTATCTGCCGCCAGCGCCGGCACACAGCCCCGCTCCCCGCGGGAACCCCGACCAGGGATGGCTGCGGGACCCGGCGGCTGCAGGCACTGCTCTTCCTTATTCTCCTTCTCCCTGCGCTCCCGGCAGCGCTGCCAGCCCTCGCCGCGGCGGGACGCGGCGGAGCCGGGCTGCCCCGGGACACCGGGCTGTGACGGCCGGGCGCGCCGCCTGCCTGCCCGGAGCAGCCTGTCCCGCTGTCCACAATGGAGGGACAATTACACCTTCCGGCATGGGGCCACGGCACTGCCTGCATCCTGGCCGAGGGTCCCTGCTACCCCCGGCCCTGCCACTCGGCCGGAGGAGGTGGTGGTATGGTGTCCCAGCTGCATCCTGGCTGTCAGCGTGCTGCTGCTGCTGCTTGCCCAAGTTGTTCTAGTGATCGAGCAATTGGGATGGTTCCCTCCACCCCCAGGCTGTACAGGAAACAGACAGCCCTGTTGGGGCACGTTGCTCCCTGGCATGGCTATCCCATTGTTCAGAACTGAGGAACAAGCCCCAGTGTCCTGTACTGCCTGCACCCAGCACCTGCCAGCAGCCATCCTCTGCCTGGCCTGAGGAGGGGAGCAGCAGCAGGGAAGGGGACAGGGATGCCTCCTGGCACCTCTTTTCAGAAACAGCTCCTGCCTCACCTTAGGTGACTCTTGTCTGGATGTGGCCAATGATTTCTCCATCTCCTCCTAGGGAGCAGAGGCATGAGGAAGTATTTGGCCACAAGCAGTCCTTGAGGAAGATGGGATTGTCTTCATTCCTTCCCATTTCTCACTGTCTTTTTGTTTTCTATTCCCAGAGATGTACCCTGGGTGTGACCACAGGTTTCAGGTTGAGCAAAGTTGTGCAGGGTCAGGGAGGCTCATGTTTAGGGCTGGCTGAGCATTTGGTGAATGGGAGCCATAAAAGTGTCATCCTCATCTTCCCCACCTCTAAGCCAGCGCCTGACAGCTCTGCTGTGGCCTCAACAGAGATTTGTCCATGAAATGCTGCTTGCACAGGATGGTTCCAGCAGGAACACTCATATTCCTGGTGGGATGGGGGAGCTTGTGATCTGTGCTGGGCTTTCCGGGTGGTGGCGAGAGGATGCTCTCCCTGACTGCTGCTTCCTGAGGAACCAGCTGCCAGCAGCTGGCAGCAGTCAGCAGGGTGCCCCAGCGTGCCGGCCATCCTGGCCTTCCTGCTGTCCCAACAACCCCGCCACGTCCGGGAAGAGCATCCGAGGGGTAGGGACAAGTCGTGAGGGGCTGTGCGTGGTGGGGAGAGCAACTCTGGCTCTCCCAGTCCCCCCATCCTGGGGCTCTGGGGGATGAAGGAAATGCCACAAGGCTGGGAAGGGGCTCAGAATCCATCAGAGGGGCTTGCTTGGGGGGTAGCAATGGGCAGGGGGAAGCAGCAGCTGGGGGCTGAGGATGCATTCCCCGCTCTGATGTGCAGCATCTGCTCCCATCACCCTCCTCATGGAGCCTCTGCCATGCCCCTGGCTCACGGCTGTCTTGGCTGGACTCGAAGCAAACTGCTCTTATCTCTGCCTCAGCTTCCCGATGATAAGGGTGGCTTGTCTGGAGGTGAACTGGGCAGACTGTCCCCCCTGTCCCAGGCTCTATCTGTGGCTGCTATTTGTCACCAAGCAGCTGCAGCCACAGCCACAATTAATTCAGCCCAGTCTTCGCAAGCAGCTCTTCTGATGCCCATGGCTGGCACTCCCAGGTCAACGCAAGAGTCCACCTCCCATAGGCATGGCCCAAGGAGGAGATGCCTGGCTGAGCAGGGTACTGCTGACCACTGGGAGGTGTAGGAAGATTGTCCAGAACTGCAGGGACAGAGAGCTGTGGTAAGACGTAGGTGACACTTGGCTACTCATGCCAACTTCAGGGGTTCCTGCCCAGTGTGGCAAATTCTGGACAACCCCTGTCCTGTTCACCACAATGCCTCCTCCCTACATGGGATCACGTCCTCAGTGCAGGCAGATCCTGCTCCAGAAGCATCCATGCCCCAGCCCTCCCCAGGAGGGCTCTGCTGGGAATATCCCCACAGGCAGCCCTTGCAAAATTCACAGCTCCCTCCAGCCCTGGGAGCGTGCTTGGGTGTAAGAGCCGGTCCAGATCCAAGCTGAGGGATTTGCTCCAGGATCAAAGCCAAAGGAGGAGACACAGGGTGTGGGGTGCTGATAGAGGCTTCCCCTCCCCAAGTCCCATCCCGCCACGCCTGGCCAGCTGTGAGCAGTCTCCAGCAGCTGCGACAGGGTGGAGACAGTGGGAAAGATGCACACAAAGCCCTGAGATACCCTGTTTTTCAGGCAGGGAAGGGAGCTAGGAGGGTCTGTGAAGGTAGGAGAGGTGCCGGGCCAGCACAGCAGCTGGCCACCCCATAGGGTGGAAGAGTCGAGGGGCTCAGAGGGAATCCTGGAGGATCACCAGACCAGCCAGGCTTTGGGAGATGGCCTTTGGGGAGGCACAGAGCAGACAAGCCAACGCCCCCAAAAGTTTCAGCTGTTTTTAATACTGTCAGAGACACCCCAGAGTGGGGCCATCACTGCCATCCCACTCAGGCTCCCTCAGCCCTTGCCAAAGCAAACCCACTGCCAGCCCAGCCCCATGGCTGCTTCACATCCCAGCAGGCAGGGGAAGCAATGCTACCAGCCCAGGACAGCCTGCCCATGCTCCCACCTGGGACTCACTCATCCCCTACTGCTAATCCTGAGGGCTTGAGCATTGCAAGAGGCTCCCCTCCACCCCATGTACAGGGAAAAAAAATCAGGTTACAAAACGGGTCATGGCATGGCTCTCTGCCCACTGCATTTGGATGGTTTAATTACCGCCTTTCCCATCTTTTCTTCACATCCTTCTGGCTACAAAGCAACTGTCCCCACTACCAGATCGTAGTCCCCCCGTCACCACTGGGCTGTGAGGACAAGGGATGGCCAAGCATGCCAATCTGCAATAAGCTGGGGATGATGGCAATGCTGAGACTTGGGAGGCTGCTGGAGCTGGCTTCCCAGAAAAGGGAATGGGCAGTGCCTGCCAAAATGCCTGCTGTGGTGCCTGCCAGAGTACCCATCAGGTAAAGCCACCATCAGTGGGGATCTGGTGCCTCTTGACAGGAGCTGTCTCATCACTCCACTCGCACTATGTGGTGCTGACATTGCAGGCAAGGAGACTCAGGGCCTGGCAAAATGGGCAGGAGACAACAGCTGAGGTTTTTCAGAGGATTTTCACAGCCCCTGCTTGCAGACAAACAGGGAGCAGCAGGGACATTGGAGGCTGTAAGCCAGGGGAGCCTGCCCTAAGACCCTGAAAACGGCTGAGACCCAAGACACAGCTCAGGCAAGGGACTGCCCCTGGCTGCAGCCTCTCTGCTGGAAGCAGAAGCAAGAAGGAGAAAATTTGTCCCCAGGCTTAGCTGAGAAGATAAAGCCAAACCCTGGTTGCAGGACAGGATCCCCTAGCAAGGCCTCATTTGCAGGATGGTGTCCCCAAGAAAGCCCCAGTTGCAGGAGGGGGTCTCAGCCCTGGCTGGAGCAGCAAGAGGGCAGGGGCCATCCCCACATCCCACCTGCAAGGGCCCCGTAAAGTGCAGTGCTGCAGCCCCAGCACCAACGCGGGGCAGGGGAGCCCTCTTGGCCACCTCCTGAGTGTGGGGACATGGAGAGGGGGGTGTGAGGTCAGAGCAGGAGTGGGCAGGGGCAGCAGGGTGCAGGCTGGGCAGCGGGGAAGAGCAGCCCCGTCCTTCTTCCCCGTGCTACTCATCGCAGCCCAGCAGCTCCACGCGCAGGGTGATGCGGTTGTTCCAGGCCACGGGCAGGATGCGGACGTAGCGGGCGTAGAAGGGCACATCAAACACGTTCTTCTTGTGTGAGTAGTTGTCA